ACTTCTGCATTCAGCTCTGATCCCTGCATCTTGACTTTCCCTGCAGGGAACCTCTCTTTCTCAAGCATGCTTCTCTTTTTTTTCTCGAGTTTTCCAGAGCTCTCATACTGTGGTGAGATTTAGACTTCCATAAAAGATTCTGATCTAAGTCTGACCTCCTGCACTTGTAATTGCTGGCATGGGAGAGATTGCCAACCGCCAGAAAAGGACTCTCCTCCTCTTTGCTGCAGCCCTCAGGAGGAGCAGTTACTAGCTGGCTTGAAGAATGGAAATTTAGCTGGAACAATTGGTAATGCAGGCTGCAACACCAGATCCTAAGTGTCCCCAATGACAGCGTTCCAGAAGAACCCAACTACACTCAACTTATGATCACAATTGAGACCAGAATTATTGATTGATTGATTGATTGATTGATTGATTGATTGATTGATTGATATCCCGCCCTTCTCCCCGAAGGGACTCAGGGCGGTGAACAGCCGAGAATTAAAATAACATGCAATAAATTGCAAGAATTCCCATTGATAAGCAAGGTGATCTTTTTTTTTTTTGCCAGTCATTTAGCAAATCATGGCAGTTGTTAAGTGAATCACATGGTTGTTAAGTAGATCCAGCTTCCCCATTAGACTTGGCTAATCAGAAACCAACCTGGAAGGTCGCAGATGGCAATCGCATTATAAATACCGATAGTCCTCAACTTACGACCACAATTGAGCCCAACATTTCTTTTGATAAGTGAAACAGTTGTTAAGTGAGTTTACCCCATTTTAGGACCTTTACTTGCTACAGTTGTTAAGTGAATCACTGTAGTCAAACTGTTGTTAAGTGAATCGGGCTTCCCCATTGACTTTGCTTGTCACAAGGTCGCAGAAAGGGGTCACGTGACTCCAGGACACTGCAACCGTCATAAATATGAGTCTATTGCCAAGCATTTGCATTGATCACATGATCATGGGGATGCTGGACTGGGCATAAGTGTGAAAAATGGTCATAAGTCACTTTTTTCACTGCTGTCGTACCTTTGAACTGTTTGCTGCTTGCCAAGTGCCTGAATTTTGATCTTATGACTGCAAAGGTTGTAATTGCAGGGTCTGGTCATAAGGTCTGTCCAGCACACGGCATGTAAGCGATGCCTGAGCAGGATTGTCTGGGGCACTGCATATCCTCTCACAACCTGTTTTCCTTCTTGCCTTCTGGGAGGGGGCTTCGGGGTATCCAAAGCAGAACATCTAGATTCAGTCACAGTTTTGTTCCATATAGCATCAACCTTGTGAACAGCAGGAGACCTTCTATCACCTTAATATAATTAGATGTGCCTCAAACACAGAGGAGAAATTCCCAGAAAAGGGAAGGAGTTTTCTAGGCAAGGTTGCCATGCAGAGGAAGGCAGAGATAGTCCTTGAGTTACAACAACAATTGAGCCTAAAATTTTGGTTGCTAAGGAAGAGCATTGTTAAAGCTTTCTCTGTGGGGGCACCTACGATCTGGAACGAGCTCCCCCCGGAGATACGGAGGATTCCGGATCTGCGTACCTTCCGTCGCGCGCTTAAGACGTTCCTATTTCATCAAGCCGGCCTGACCTAAATTTTTCCTCTTTTTAAATGGAAATTTTAAATTTGGTTCTAATTTATTGGGGTTTTAAAATTGGTTCAGCCAAATTTATTTAATTAGTTTTATCTCTATTTTAAATTTTGTATCTATCTGTTTTATTTTATGGCTGTTCACCGCCCTGAGTCCTTCGGGAGTAGGGCGGTATACAAATTTAATAAAATAAAATAAATAAATAAAATAAATAAATAAAAGTGGGTTTCGACATATCTTACTCAATCCATCCTCCAACAGTGGGTGTCAATCACCGTGGGCCAGATTCAGAATTTTAAATCAAAGGCCAGCCGGATTACTGGTAAGGGAAGGGTAACTTTTGGTAAGGGTAACATTTGACTTACTGCAGTGTTTCCCAAACTTGACCCTTTGAAGATGTATGGACTTCAACTCCCAGAATTCCTCAACCAGGCATACTGGCTGGGGAATTCTGGGAGTTGAAGTCCATGCATCTTAAAATAGCCAAGTTTGGGAAACACTGACTTACTGTATGTCCACCATTGAGTCTCAAATCTCCATTGCTAAGGGAGACAGCTGTTCAGTGAGCTTTCTCCCACTTTATGACCCGTCTTGCCACTGTTGTTAAGTGGATCGTTGTTTAAGTCAGTCAGACGATGGTTAAACAAAGCTGGCTCCCCCAGTGACTTTGCTTGTCAGGGTTGCAAAAGGGATATCACGTCACGTGACCCCTGGATGCTGCGACCGTCATAAATGCGAGTCAGTTGCTACACATCCAAGTGTAAATCACATGACCATTGGATAGGATAGGATAGGATAGGATAGGATAGGATAGGATAGGATAGGATAGGATAATTTTATTTCTATACCGTCCCTCTCCCGAAGGACTCGGGGCGGTGTACAGCCAGGTAAAAACACAATACAAATATCACAGTTTAAATTTAAAAATCATTAAAAGTATTACATTCAAGGCCAAAATTAGCTTAAAAACCCCAAAATTTAAGAATTCCGAATTTAAAACTCAATTATGAAGCTAGCCCTGCCTGTCGGAAGAGCAGGGTCTTAAGAGCACAGTGGAAAACTCGGAGGTCAGAAATCTTGCGTATGTCTGGGGGCAGCTCATTCCAAAGGGCAGGTGCCCCCACAGAGAAGGCCCTCCCCCTGGGTGTCTCCAGCTGACATAATTTGGCCGACGGCACCCTGAGGAGTCCCTCTCTGTGGGAGCGAACTGGTCGGTGGGAGGCTATTGGTGGCAGAAGGCGGTCTCGCATTGGGATACTGCAATGGTCATGAGTGTGAAAAATGGACAACGGTGGCATTGCAAGTTTGAACAGTCATTATATGATACGGTCGTAAGTTGAGAACTACCTGTACTGTTTTCCAATTTGAAAAGATGGCAGGCGGTGGGGGGGAACAGCAGCCCAACTGCAGGATCAGGTATGGGGTGTGGAGAGAGCAGAATCTTAGGTATGGACATACGACATCGGTGACAGCTGACCATGATGGTCGTAAGTCAAGGATGGATTGAGTAAGATGCGTCGAAACTCACTTTAACAATGCTCTTGCTTAGCAACCAAAATTTTGGGCTCAATTGTTGTCGTAACTCAAGGACTATCTCTGCCTTCCTCTGCATGGCAGCTTTGCCTAGTAAACTCCTTCCCTTTTCTGGGAATTTCTCCTCTGTGTTAGAGGCACATCTAATCATATCAAGATGATATAGAGTCTCCTGTTGGAGCAGGGGGTTGGGCTGGATGACCTCCAAGGTCCCTTCCAGCCCTGGATTGCTGTGCTATTTCAAAGCATCCACTGAAGCTGGATCTAGTGCCAGGGTTTGTGGTCCTTCCTTCCTTTCCTTTTTCTCTCCCTCCCTTCCCTCCTTCCTTCCATCCTTCCTTCCTTCCTTCCTTCCTTCCTTCCTTCCTTCCTTCCTTCCTTCCTTCCTTCCTTCCTTCTTCCTTTCTCTTTTCTTTTCTTTCTTCTTGTCTCTCTTCTCTCTCTCTCTCTCTCTCTTCCCTTCCTCTTTCCATCTCTCTTTCTAAGGATAGGATACCCACCCGAACCAAAAACTGCTTTGGATGAAGCTGGCTTCTGGCTGCCAGCATTGACAACTAGTTGATTGGCTGGCCACTAATTGTCCCAGGAGGCAAAAAGCCCGGGACTAACAGTGTGGCGTCGAATGGGCCATGCCGAAGCGTGTGGGACGGAGGGACCGTGGCCGACTGGCTGTGGTGAATGGATGGGGGCGTATCAGCCGAGGAGAAAAGCTAGAGGAGAATCCCCCGAGGCAGAAGCCTGGCGGAGAACAGGAGCGGCCAAGGATAGGAGGTGAAAAGTCCCATTCCGGCCAAAAGAACCCTGAGACCTCTTGTTATCTCTGTCCTTGGAAGAAGCAGCCTCTCTGCCTTTCAGTGCAGATTTGCCCAACTCAGGCAGCGCAGATAGTTTACTTGTCATTTATGGACACTTTTCTTTTCCAAGATGGCAACTTTATCTTTCCTGGGTTTTTTTTTTTTCCTTTTGTTTTGCTGACTGGCCAACAGCCAAGGAGACTCTCCAGTTATTCTTCAATCATGTTTTCTGCTTCCCTGATTTATCTGAGCACCTGATATTGAACAGAGCTAGCCAATTCATAGTGCTTTTTGATAGGCTTTCTTTTTTAAAAAAATAAAGGAATATTTAGATTCACCTGTCATCAGCCCTCTATCCCTAGTTGGACATTCAGACAAGAGAAGGTTAGTAATCCTGGAGCAAAATTTATACTTTTATATTAGATCCCAGGAGAATCCCACAGAGTTTGCATACAATTTGCTCCATACATACAAAATCTGATGGCCTGGTATCCTTAGAGTCACCTGAATTCAGAGTTTATACAGATAAGGACATGGGCTGCCACAAAGAAGAGGGAATCCACCTATTCTCCAGAGCACCTAGAGGCAAGACAAGAAGCAATGGATGGAGAAATTTCCTGACAGTTAGAACAATAAACCAGAGTAATAACTTGCCTCCAGAAGTTGTGGATGCTCCATCCCTGGAGGCTTTTAAGAAGAGATTGGACAGCCATTTGTGCAGAATGATATAGGGTCTCCTGCTCGAGCAGGGGTTGGACTAGAAGACCTCCAAGGACCCTTCCAACTCTGTTATTCTGTGTCTGGTTGAATATTAGGAAAACCACCCAACAAGAGAAAAAGCTTGACAGTGGGACCAAAGACCCAGTAAGATTTCAGGTTTTCATTCACGGAGATGTTCAAGCAGAGGCTTGAGAGCTGTCTGTCAGGAATGCTTTTAATTTAGATTCTTGCACTAGGTATCGGGTTGGACATCATAGTCCCAGTGGCCTTTTCCAGTTGCAATTTTTGTCAACCGGTTCATTGTGATTGAAATCTGCCCTGTAGCTACTTCTTTATGATACATCTCACGCTCCCTGTCTGTTTTTCTCTCTGTAGCAAGATGGATTCTGGATCTACTCCGAGTACTGTAATAACCACTTGGATGCATGCATGGAGCTTTCCAAACTAATGAAAGACGGCAGATACCAGCACTTCTTCGAAGCTTGCCGTCTCTTGCAGCAGATGATTGACATCGCCATAGATGGTTTCCTGTTGACCCCTGTCCAGAAGATCTGCAAATATCCTCTGCAGCTTGCAGAACTGCTCAAGTACACTGCACAGGATCACAGGTAGGTGTGTGTAGGAGGTGGGGTTGGATACAGGGCTGGGAGGAGTAGCAAAGCAGGGAAATCTTCTGGGACTGTTGGAGATGGACCCTTTTAGTTTAAGCCATTTCTTTTCAAAACGTGACTCTGGGATTTTCATTGCTAAGCGTGAGCTACTAACATAAAATAGGATTTGGAATGGAAGAACAAATGATAGTCAACATCCACAATATTGTCAAATGATAGTCAACATCCACAACATCCAAAATAGAGAGAGTGTTTGTAGGCGTGTAATGCATCAGTAGTTCTTGACCTGTGTCGGTTCAGTTAGCAACTGTTCAAAGTTATGATGGTGCTGAGCGAATGGTGATGGTACTCAGGGTTCCTAGCACCCCCGTGGTCTGGGTCCTTGGCAACCCTTCCATACTTACCACCCATTGCCAAGGGCCCTGCAATCGTATAATCGCCATTTGCACATGTCACATAATGACTTTCTGGGGAAACCACATGGAAGGTCGCCAATTACTGGGGTAAACCTGTACATCTGTGCACCCTCCCCCAGCCCCTCTCTGGTCATGCCACACCAGCCACTCAGGCACCCTGTGCACCGTTCCTGACACATCCCTTTCCTGACCCATGTGGTGCCGCTTGCAACCTCCACAATCTTCACAGCACTTCTCGCACATCCCCGCACATCCTCCCTGACCCAGATGGCACCTCTCACACACCTCTTCCCCGACCCTGTGGTGCCATTCATGCATCTCCTTGCACCCCTCCCCAATGTTCACCTCTCATGCAACCCTGCACACATTCCCTGACTGGTGCAGTGCTTCTTATGCACCCTAGCATATCTTCCACTGCACAACACCTCTCATGCAGCCTCCCTGCAGCAGCTACAGGGACCTGCAACTTCCTGCTGGCTTCCCCACTGACTGGTTGTGGGAAACTGGCAGGAAATTGCCTCGCCTAAAGACTGTGGGCTTCAGCTAACTGTGGTAACCAGGACTGCAGGAATTGTGGTCGCTAAACTATGTGGTTGTGCTTCACGACCGCATTGCTTAGTACCAGAAATTCTGGTATACACTTCCAATTGTTAAATTACTATTATTATTTTCTACAAATGCTGATGGGATCTCATTAGTACCTTGAGACATTCTTGGAAGTAAAGATGCGCTTCCTTTGCAGAAGGACCACCTCCAATTTAATTTATATTTCAAAGTTCAGCCTCCATTTGGGTAGGTAGCTGTTTGTGGGCAGAGAAATCTCCCCCTGACATCAGCAGGTGACTCTCTTTCTTTCCTGTCCATTAGCAATCATTTTTATCTTCCGGCCATCTAAATTTACTCTACAAGATGCCATCTGGGTGGAAAGCCAGACTTCTGGTCCTTGAAACATAGGGTTAGCACGGCATTGTTTGGCCAGGAGCCTCGTCCTCCCGCGAAATCATTAAGGAAAAGCTACAGTTCCCCTCCAGGGAACCGTTCCATAGTATTAATCCATCGGCCCCAGCAAACGTCCCTGGCCATTTCTCATCTGTCATTTGCTCGTTCAGCTGGAGCTGTCGGGCTTCTGTCTGCAAAACCTTGTTTTGTTAATGAGTGGATGGCAGGGGAGGGGAAAGCAGGGAGGGGGATGCAGCTCCATTCATAAATGACACCTCTAAATTTTTTTTTTTAAAAAAGTGAGGGAACACAGCTAGGACAGGGAGCATATGTACCTGCCATTGAAAAGAGGGATGTTGAAAGCAGAGGTTATCGCCTTGGTTTAAAATCTGGGCATCCAGAATGTAGGAGGTGTAGAATATGCAAGTACGAGTGAGTCTTACATCAGCCTTCACTCGTTCAATATGCTGACAGGCTGGACAGCTCCCAGTAAAAGGAGCTGCAGCCTCGGACAGTTCTCAGTTTGTAGTTAGTTTGTTGTTGTTCCCTGTTGCCTGCAATAAACGGTTGTTTTACTTCACTATGATCGTCCTGCCTCTCTTTTCATGTCCAGACTTAACAGGAGGAGAGATGGCTCGGTTTCCTAAAGGCAGCTATTGGGCGGTGTGTGTGTGTGCCTGTGTTTGTGTGTGTGTGTTAGAGCTGAAGGTCAGCTGATTAGATTGTCCTCTGTTCTTTGCCCCAGTCAGCAGTCCTATTCTGGCTGGAATAGCTTGTCTCCAGAAGTTGTGGATGCTCCATCACTGGAGGCTTTCAAGAAGAGCCTGGACAGCCACTTGTCTGAAATTCAATAGAGTCTCCTGCTCAAGCGAGAGGTTGGACTAGAAGACCTCCAAGGTCCCTTCCAACTCTATTATGTTATGTTTTATGTTCTAATTTGTCCACACTGGCTTCTGAGTTCTGGGGGATAACCTGACTTCCTCCAGTGACCTATAGGTTTAGGGAAACCATCTTACCTAGAGCAAGATACATGCCTCTGGCATTCCCGATATTAGTTTATTTATTTATATTTCATGTTTCTAGAGGAGCGGCCCTGAACAACATTTCCCAGCACCTCCAGGAAGCAAGGCAGTGGGGGGAGCACTGACTTTTGGGTTGGGTGCATGGTATTTGTTTAGTGACATAAGATGGCGGTCAGTAATTACAGGTAGTCCTTGACTTGCAGCCATTTCTTGAAAGACCATTCAGTTACAGTGGCTCTGAAAAAAAGTGACTTACAACTGGTCCTCACACTTAAGATCTTTGCAGCATTCTCACAGTTGCGTGATCAAAATGCAGGCTCTTGGCAAAGCATTTTGTAATGGTTGCAGTGTCCCAGGATGATGGCATCACTATTTGTAACCCGTCCCAGATGGCTCCCGAGATGCAAAAGTCAGTGGAGGCAGCAGCATTCATTTAATTACTGAGTGATTGACTTAACTGTAGTGATTTGCTTAACAATTGTGGCAAAAATGTGGTAACACCGGCTGCAGTGCCCCTAACAACCACTTTGTTCAGCAGCAGAAATTCTGATCCCGGTTGTGATCATATGTTGAGGACCAACTGTATATGGACTGATCTGTTGGGTAGCCTAACCATTTGCCCGATGATGCTTCATGATATCAGCCCTTCTGTTAAGCCATCTTATGGATCGGTTTATTAGGTTTACAAGCCACCTTTTCCTCAAGAACTCAAAACAGTTTATGTAGGGATCTGTCTGCACCAGGGAAATCAGAATACCCAGGCAATTCAAATGGGTATAATGGTTTGTTGTAAGCTTAAGCTCTCTATAGCAGGGGTCCCCAACCTCCGGGCCCTGGCCCACTACTGGGCTGTGAACTGTTCACAACCAGGTCATGGAAGCGTCAGATGGGTGTGCACATCATCACTCGCGTGAGCAACAGGAAAGTACATGCACGCGTGCTCCATTTGCACGAGCCGCCTGTGTGCATGCCTGCCATTTGTGGAAATGGAAGCATGTGCACTTTTGCCAGCCACTCACGCAGAACCACCCCCTCTCGCCCCCCCCCCCCCCAACCCTAGCCCGTTGACAAAGCCGGAAAGGTTAGACAATTCTGCTGTACAAGAATCTGAACTACTAACTTCCAAGGGAAATTAGCAGGAATGAAGAATAGAAAGGAATTCATGATGGGCTGGACTTAGATCTCTTGTGGGTGCTCAGGGACTCATGACTGATGATGCTTTGACCCCTCGCTCAGGCTCAGCTTAGTCAGCTTCTATAGGATCTGCATTCATTTTATTCCCCCAAAAATAACTTGACTGGCCCCAAGTAATCCAGCAATAGTAATCCCACTATAGCTGAGAATGGATTTCGACTCAGATCTCCCACTCATGTTCCTAACCTTAACCATTCCATCATTTTGGCTCAGCTTGATGGTTTGATTTGGGGAAGTAGGGTGGCTTTCTATGTTATATGATGATAGAAACTGTGATTTGTAAACCCTGGTTCTCACTTAAGCTGTATGAAGCCAGACACCGACTTCTGCTGGTTATGATCTCTGCTGCATCTTATCTTTCAGTCTCTGTGTGTTTGGTAATCTGCATTTGCCCTATCATCCTTCTTCCTTCCTTGTTCCATTTTTAAAAAACCATAGATTTTATTTGTCTATGGAGTTTCTCAATGATCCAGGTCATGGTTGTCCCAAAGGAGCTTTTTCCAAAGGCAGCTGGACTTCCTTGGTTTTTTTCTCTAAAAACGCTTCTAAAGAAACGAAGAAGCTACTTGGATGAGAAGCGAAATGTTTTCAAAAAACAACAAAAACAACAACCAGAAAGTCCAGTTGGTTTTCAGAAAAGAACCTTTGGGATATAAATTTTATTTAAAGTTTTAAAGAGAACATTAAAAATTAACACCCACTAATATAGAAGAAAGAAAACAAAGCAGAAAGAAAAGACCAAAGTGGAGGGGGGGGGAGAACAAGAAAGAACAGTGGGTTCTGTTCAGATTGTATAAATCTTGCGCCTTTCCTTCCCTTGCTCCTTCTACTCAGGGAGCACACTCTTCTGTGTGCAACAGCACTTTGGGTGGTTGCAATGCAGCCAGAAATAACAAAGGAGTTTCTTGGCAGGAGCTGATGTGGCATTTTTCTGACATAATGCTGAGTGGGAACGCACCAGGTGTTTGTGGGAGGCCCACAACCAACCTCATGCTAAAATGAGCAGCTCTTTGAATGTGGAAATGTAACAGGCACTCTCTGCCCAGGTTCCCCCATTGGGATTCTGTCGGAAATGCGTTTGTCAAAGTTGTGAGAGGAGTAATGGCTCAATAACCAACCCATCTCAGAGAGGCAGTGTTTGGAAACTGCTTGGAAACTCCCACATCTCTTCCTAGTTGCTAAGTTATTTACTAGTTATTAAAGAGAATTTCCTAACTGTGAGAACAATCAACCAGTGGAATGCCTTGCTTTCAGGAGTTGTGGGTGCCCCATCAAGAGGATACTGGACAGCCATTTGTCTGAATTGGTATAGAATTTCCTGCCTGAGCAGGGGGTTGGACTAGATGACCTCCAAGGTCCCTTCCAACTCTGCTATTCCATGTTATTCTATGTTATGTTAGTTTTCATTTTGGGTCTGATGAATTTGCTTTCAGAGTAGCCCTGGCGATAGGTTCTTGGGTGGAGTAGTTAAGTCTTGTCTCTTGACAGGCAGATTACATTGATGCATACAGTATGTGAATGACTTCTCCATTGTGCAATCATTGTCCATCAGTTTGCATTCACCTTGGCTTCCTTGCTTCCTTTTGAACCCCAAGGGAAAATGTCAGGATGAAAATAATTTCATAAACCTTTTTTAGACTGAGAAACATGGGCAGTTGAGAAGGAAGAATGAGCCATAGAAAATAATTCACCTCCAGGAGTGCAGTAATGGAAGCTCGAAAATACCACCAGAATGTATTTGAAATCACTTCTCGGGGGCCATGAGAGGAAGGTGAAAAAAACTGGCCATTGCAGAGAAGAGAGAAAAACAGAATTCAGCAGAATGTTGGTGTAGGGCAATGTTTTCCAAACATTGACAACTTTAAAATGTGTGGATTTCAACTCCCAGAATTCCTCAGCCAACAGAAACACTACTATACAGTAGTGGCTTTCTACTGACTTTTTCACTTCATTTAAACCCCTGAAAATTTTTCCCTGGGATCAAAAGTCTGGGCCTATTCAGCAATGAAGAGAGAATTCTTTAGCAGGCCAACTGGGTTGACATTTAGAGAGCCAGATGTTTATGCTTCTATCCCCACTAAATCGTTATTCACATTCTGCTTTGCGGGGGATAGATTGAGACCTCTCTATGGACACTCTTGGCCAGGAACAGGAGGATGCCAAAGAACTGTCCATAGTTTTGAACCTGAAAAGACCATTCTATACTCTGAACCAGGGGTCCCCAACCTGTGGGCCATGGGCCATGACTGGGCCATGGCTTATTGGCCATTGCGCCATGTGAGTAGCTGGCCAGTGCACGTGCGTGCGCACATGCAACTCTACTCACACAAGAGTTGTGGGCACTTGCTGTCCCACTTGTGCAAGCATTGTCATGGGCACTTGCGACTCCACTCACGCGAGCAAGGGTGTTTGCATGGGCGCACCCATGCATGTGCCTTCCCCTCCCACAAAACCATCCCCTCTTTCCCCCCTCCCCCCATTATGGGCCACCAACCCAGAAAGGTTGGGGAACTCTGCTCTGAACCATCAAGATGGCAGAGAATCTTGGTTCTTGTTTCTGGCTAGACCGACCTCCCCCAGAATGTCATTGTCTGCATTTATGGACTTTAAGTCTCAAAAGTCTCCACCAGCTTGATTATTTCTGAGAGCTTGGAAAACCCAAGACAGTTTCACATAATAATGAGCAATGTATATAAAAAATAAGGTTGTGCGTCATACTTGTGTTTTGTAGATCCCTGGAATCTATTTTGAAAATTCCAAATGTGTATACAAGTTGATCCATGACTAATTGGCGCATGGATTTCACAACATAAAGCTAGACCTGCTATCTGAGGTCAGTAAAGAAGTCTGGTGTAATTTAAACCAGGCTGCTCTATTGAACTCATATGTGAGGGGATGCATGACTGAAGATGTTCTCCAAAGATCAGTGCTCCTAGACTGTGGTCTTCTCCCAAAGAAACCTGATCAGCCTTTCCAATTAGTCTCCAGATTTGTGGGTTTCAACTCTCATCATACCTTGAGACTAAATCATACAATGATCGGTGAAGGAAGTAGGCATGCTTAGCCTACCAAAGAGAAGGATTAGGGGAGACCTGATAGCAGGCTTCCAGTACTTGAGGGCCTATCACAAACAAGAAGGGGTTGGCCTATTCTCCAGAGCATGTGAGGACAGGACAAGTAGCAATGGGTGGAAGCTCATCAGAGGAAGATTCAACCTAGAAACGAGGAGGAATTTTCTGACAGTGAGAACAATTAATCAGTGGAACAGCTTGCTTCCCAGAGTTGTAGGTGCTCTATCACTGGAAGCTTTCAAGAAATGATTGGACACCCATTTGTCCTGGACTCCTTACCTTGGGCAATGTGTTGCACTAGAAGACCTCCAAGGTCCGTTCCATCCACATGATTCTATGATTCTATTCTAGTCAATGTAGCTAAAGAGGGAAGATTAATGCACATCTGAAGGCCCTCATATTAAAGTATATAGTTGTGGGTACATCTCAAGGACTTTTAACCTAGTTTCCTGAAATGGAGTAGGTAGACCAACTGCAATGTTGATTTAAAAAAAAAATCAATCATGTTTCAACAACCTACTGTTTTCTTTTTCCTCATTAGTGAAAAGCCAATATTACATCCTAATTTATTAATAATAAATTAGGATGACACCAAGGAGGCAACTAGGTAGTTTCTTTCTCTCTCCCCCCCTCTCTCTCCCTCTCCCCCTCTCCCTCCCTCCCTCCCTCTCTGAAATCAATGGTATGGTCTTGAAATGGAAAATATAGCACAAGGTAGAAATCAATACCATTGACTCCAAAAAAAAATTTATTTTTATTTTGCAAAAGATTGATCCTTGCTGTTCCTGGCAGGACTTGCACTCACACTTGTGCCCACACACAGACACCCAGGCCATTGAATAAGTATTCATAGACACGTTATAGCATTTAATTACCTGCATGAGATTCTGCTATGAGAACAAACATCTGTTGTGGGATCCAGTCGAAAGAAAGTAGGTTAATATATGTTATGTTAACTTCTTTGCACTTTCTTAAAATACACCTTCCCTTATGAAAGCGATTTTTTGTGTTGGATCCAATCTGAATTCGTCACCAGGACCAAAAGATTATTCTTCTAAACTTTTGGACTCGTGCTAGAACCCATCCTCAGGGAAGTTCTTTCTCTCCAGAATGTGTGCACTGGGCTGTTCTACACTTTGTATTTACATGGGCCTAGTTGTGGGTGGCTTTTAGTTGTTAATTAGGGTGTTGATGGCCCGCTATTAAGTCCTTAGTTATTGTTTCTTTGTGGCTCCTAAGTATCTGATAACCTGGTGATAAATCAGCACTCCTATTGACTGACAAGGGACCTCAATCATTTCTCTGGCTATTGGTGCTCATTGCCTCAATTCTCAATGAGAATAACATAATACTCCAACTATAAAAGAGCTTGTTGTAGCCCATCTGAATTGAGTTTGGGATCTGTCTGGCTAAATTGCTAGCTTAGCCTTTAGTGATGGAGCACCCACATCTTCCAAAGTCAAGCTGTCCCATTAGTTGATTGCTGCCACCATTAAGATATTTCTCTTTAGTTCTAGGTTGCTTCCCTCCTTGGTTAGTTTTCATCCTTGTTTCTTGTCTTGCCTTTTAGTGCTTTGGAAAATAGTTTGATCCCCTTGTCTTTGTAGGAGCCCCTCAAATATTACAACAGTGCTATCATGTCAGCCCTAGTTCTTCTTTTCATTAGACTAGACATACCCAATTCCTGTAACCATTCTTCATACATTTTAGCCTCCGGTCCCCTAATCATTCTTGATGTATCAGGTTTAATTTTGTAGTTGAAGCCTTGAAGGCCTAGGTAGCTAAACGTCTTTGGGGGACACCAAAAAACCACTGCCTACCAGTATGGCTCCCTTAGACTTAGATGGTTTGTTCCAATTTTCCACGTGCATTTCGTCATGTTTCCATTGTTCCATTGCTTCTGTGATTTTTACAGGCTCTTCCCCCCCCCTTTTTTTTTCTTCCCAGTGATTACCGGTACGTGGCCGCTGCGCTTGCTGTCATGAGAAACGTGACCCAGCAGATCAACGAGCGGAAGAGGAGACTGGAGAACATAGACAAGATCGCTCAGTGGCAGGCATCCGTCCTCGATTGGGAGGTAGGCGGCCCTCCTTCCAATATTTCGCTTCTGCCTGTGGCTCAGTGCAAGACTTCAGAGCAGATCAGATTTTCCTTTCCTGACAGCTGACCTCTGGGGATTTATGTAGTTATTTGCATAGGTAATTTATGCCCTGCATTTTCATTAGGGAATGGCTTTCCCACCCTCTCCAAGTCGTGTTGCTTTGATATCTGCATTGTAGACATTTTTAGGGAGGGCCATTGCTCATTAGGAAACTCAGGGGTTTCTTTAGCTCAAGGCCTCCCTTCCCCGTTGAGTCCACTGTGATTAAGTTAACTTGGGCAGATGCGTGTGAAACTCCTGCGATGCGCTGATGTTGGATGAGCCTCATCTTTGGTTAGTTACAGCTACTACAGTTAAAACACTTAGGGTTCTTTTCCTATTTCCTTCCTTGAACTTTCACACGTAATTATCTAAATTGTCGTTGCATTTAGAGCCTCTCTTTTCCCGGGAATTAAATGCTGTACAGGAGAGATCTCCTCCTCGTTTTATTCCTACAACACTCCCACGAAGACAGATGAACTGAGAAGCTGTATCTGGTCAGCTGTCTTAGTCATAACACTATTAATAACTCTTTCTCAGGGGGAGAGGCTAAGAATTGGACTTCAGTGATTTATTTGATTTTTATTTGGTTTTGGTTGAGAGCATCTTTTCAGAAGCCTGTCTTTGTGGCTTGTGTACCATGGTTTTTTATTATTATTATTATAGGTAGTTCTCGAATTACAACAGTTCATTTAGTGACCAGTCAAAGTTACATCACTGAAAAAAGGACTTATAACCATTTTTCACACTTACGTCCGTTGCAGCATCCCCAGAGTCACGTGATCAAAATTCAGATGCTTGGCAACTGACTCACATTTATGATGTGGTTTCAGTGTCTTGGGGTCACGTGATCCCCTTTTGTGATTTTCTGACAAGCAAAGTCAATGGGGAAGCCAGATACACTTAACAAACATGTTACTGCAATGATTCATTTAACAACCGTGGCATGAAAGGTCATAAAATGAGGCAAAACTCACAACAAAAGTCTCATTTAGCAACAGAAATTTTGGGCCCAATTGTGGTCATAGGTCGAGGTCTACCTGTACACTGCACAATCAGCCAGATGTTTAGACTGGATTTGGCATTTTTGGTCTACCTATCGAGTCCTTCCCAAGGACTTAGGATAGGCAGATGTTCTTGTTTCATGATGTCAAAGGTCTCATCATCACAGGATGTAAGCTGTTCTGACTCAAGCTGCCTTTTGCAATTGTTGGCTGGCGATTTTGTCAATACCGATGGTATTCAAATGATGTTGCAGATATTTTGAGATTGCACCTGGCATCTATGACTATTGGGACTACTACTACTATTATTATTATTATTGGTTAATCTTTAGTGAGATTCACAGCCTTTGAGACTGGTTAATAGCTCAGCAGCTCGAGTCCTAACCAAGGACCTAGGAACTGTTAAGGTATCGTCGGAGGATGTAAGCTGTTCCGAGTAAGGTAGTTTTTTGTAGAGTCAAAATGTTCAAGTCCGGCAAATTTAGGATTTCTAAATAGCGGGGTAGCCCTTTGGGTATTGCTCCAAGGGCTCCAATTACAATTGGGACAACACACAATTTCTTTTTCCACAGTCGCTCAACTTCAATTTGTAAGTCCCGGTACTTGGTGATTTTTTCTTGCTGCTTATCTTCAATTCGTGCATCACCAGGTATTGCAATGTCAATGAACCATACTATTATTATTATTATTATTATTATTATTATTATTATTATTATTATTAATATTAATATTAATGTAAAATGAAAATAAAAATAGTGAGAAAGTGGAAAAAGAGAAGAGGGGAAAAAAAGGAAAAAAGGAAAAAATGGGTAAGAGAGGAGACAAAAAAGCATTGACTTCCAATATGTTTCAGTGCAGTAAAATAAAAATAATTTTTTTACTTAACTTAATAACTACTAGCTATTTTTTTAACAAGCTAGTTTAATCAGCAAAACCAAAGTCAATATTTCATTTTTTTTTTCTATCTTAAGCACAATATCCAGAAAGGGCTTCCAAGTAGAGACAAAACTGGATCGTTTCTTTTCGCTACTTAAAGCAGTTAATTTTGCTCTTTCTGCTCCTTTTTCTGTCCATTCGTCTTTCGTGGGGTTTGTGTCTCTCTGCTGATAGCATTTAATGTAACCTAAACTGTGCTTAACGGAAGCTACATTTGTGGACACGTGACTTGAACCACTGATGTATTGATCTTCATAGTGATTAATTAACTTGATTTCTATATTACTGTTCTCTTGTTGCAGTAAAGACAATTAGCCATTTATAAGTTAGGACACAAATCTTATCATGGTCTACTAAAATGCTGAGATGTAATCTCCACGCTCTCCTCTGGATACACCTAATTTGGGCAATTTCTCTATATTAAAAAAAAAAAATCTCCTAATGTGATTCTGTTTTAGCCAAGTCATTAGCTGAAACATTTGCAGGCACGTTTCTAGTGTTTGAAATATACTTGTCTCTTGTGAGCCGTACACGAAGTATTTATTCCAAAGATTATTGGAAGTTCACTTCCTTCTATCCCGGACGTGGCATATAACCCCGTTTGACCAGAGTCCGCAGGGTTGAATGGGGCAGAACGGGACAAATCGCCATGGCCAACTTGCTGCAATACAACCCAATATATTTTATATGTTTTAATTTTTGTCATTCACTTTTCATTTTGTCCCTCCTTCAGCATCCTTTCTTTAATTATTCTATTCCACTATTTCTTCGATATTAGTGTAACTCTTGTCCCGCAGTGAGTTAACCATTATGGCGAGTTGTTCACAGCAAGTTGACTGCGGTGATTTGTCCATGGCAGGTTGGCCTTGGCAAATTGTCATAGACCCCGTCTGGGATGCTACACATCTTCATTATTATTATTATTATTATTATTATTATTATTATTATTATTATTATTATTTATTGAATTTGTATACCGCCCTACTCCCGAAGGACTCAGGGCGGTGAACAGCCAAATAAAATACATATAATACAAATGTTAAAAAACCATTAAAATACAATTAAATAATTAGCCTGGAAAACAAAATTTAAAACACCCCAAATTCATAAGACAAATTTAAAATTTAAAATTTTTAAAATTTTAAAAAACAGTTTAAAAGAGAGGTTAGGCCAGGCCGGCCTGCTGGAAAAGAAATGTTTTGATGGTACGGCAGAAAGCGCGCAGGTCCGGGATCCTCCGTATCTCCGGGGGGAGCTCGTTCCAGATGGTGGGTGCCCCCACAGAGAAGGCTCTCCCCCTGGGGGCCACCAGTCAACACTGTTTGGCCGACGGCATCCTGAGGAGCCCCTCTCTATGGGAGCGTACTGGTCGGTGAGAGGCTACTGGTGGCAGAAGGCGGTCTCGTAGATACCCCAGTCCTAAGCCGTGATTGGTTTCCTTTGTTACCTTCTGGGAAGGGGCTTCAGAGTATCCAAAGCAGAGCAACTACAGGAGTCTGGAATAGCTTTGTACCATAGAGTATCAACCCTGTTAACTCTCGTCTCTTTTTTCTGCTATGTATTCAAAATGGACTATGATTAATATATATGTGTGTGTGTGTATTAATATACACAGCATATCTATATGTGTAGGTGTGTATTGAGAATAGGCATCAGAATTTCATTTTTAATATATGCTTTATGTGTACACAGAAAAAATTACAGTAAGCGTTATCTTATCTATCTTATCTTATTTTAGTCCAGACTGGACTGTCTGTCTTTTTGTGATTTAAACACAAATCCACAAATCAAAGAGGGAAAACCCTTATTAAAGAATTGCTGAGTTAAATCACATCTTATTCTCACAATCCAATCCCCAACACATTTTTACTTAAGTCTAGTGTAGTAAATGGTTTAATGAATATATCAGAGCTATGCTATAGTCAGGCAAAATTAGCTGTCTCATTTCCAGAGAGATGAAATGGCCCTTGTTTTATTTCTTGTTGCACTTCTAATATGTAAATAATATCACATGTTTATCAGGGTTCAATCAGCCAGGAACCTAAGATAATACAACTTCTCTCGCAAATTGTAGAATATTCTTATCCTAAACATCTTTTCCAATGTATGCATTCTTGAAATAGTTTTTTTTAAGGTAAAACCTTATTCCCTAATATTTTCTTTCAGATATTCCTTATTTCAAAAGAGTAGTGGCTTTGTTGTTCAAGTTCTACACAGAATTAAAACTAATGTGAAATAAATATTTTATTTGGATATTTGTTAGTTGTGCATGGCCACCTAATTAAATTAAGAGATGTGATTGATGGGGATTGGTGGGAGGAACTGAAATTGGTGGGAGGGGGAGTTTAGGTGGGGCACACATGATTAATTATCTTTTCTTTCTGTTCTTTCCTTACTCCTTTGCATGTTTTAATGCAAATAAGGAATTCTTTTCTTAATGGAGATTAGCTAAATGTCTTGGTTGTTGAGACTTGTTAATTCTTTAATATTCACCAGAGCATGATATATGGATATATAACTTGAGAACAAATGGAGAAGGACAGGACTAGTTATATTAAATTAATTATGGATTATTACTTCTTTAAAGGAGCAGCACTAGAAACAAGTTAGTCAGGCATACGTTAGCTTCCTTCTGCTGTTTGCAGGGAACTAATGTAAGATACTACTTAAGAACAAAACAGAACAAATCAACAGAGTTGGAAGGACCATGGAGGTCTTACCTTGGAGGCAAGCTGTTCTACTGATTAATTGTTCTCGCTGTCAGGAAAATTCTCCTTAGTTCTAGGTTGCTTCTCTCCTTGATTAGTTTCCATCCATTGCTTCTTATCTTGCCTTCTGGTGCTTTGGAAAATAGGCTAACCTAAAATAGAACAGAGAATAATAGTTGGAAGGGGTCTTGCAGGCTCTCCAGTCCAACCCCCTGCACAGACAAATGGTTTTAGATAAATGGTTGTCCAGTCTCTTTTTAAAAGCCTCCAAGTGATGGAGGGAAGCACC